GACGGCAGAACTCGTGGTAGCACATATCGTCCGAGAGGCCCGTCCTTGTTTTGATTATCTGGAAAGTGCCCAAGATCAACTCGCCCATATATTTGTTCCGAATGGCAGTTGTTTCGAAGAAAGACCGTCTGAACGCTGATATGAGCACGAGGCAAGACAAACACAAACGAGCACACTCCACCCGCGGCCGGTGCGGAGTCTTGTGCCAGCAAGCATTGTAAAGACTGAAGAACATCCTGGGGAAGGTTTCCTCCCTGAATTCGCTCCAGCCTTGCGGAATCATGACTGTGTTCTGCTCATCAGTGGTGTCGTCTGCCATTGTGCCCATAAAATCGAAGGACAAGCAATTAAGGGCCAGCTGGAGGACTTGTTTCAGCAACCGCGTCTCCTCTTCTTCGTTAGGTACGCGAATCGCTCCAGCGTCAAACTGCTGAAGCGTCTTCACAGCCACCTTCAGAATTGACGGAAGCGCTATATCACGGAATGAGAATGCCACGCGACGCAGACGAGACATATGGGATCCAATCTTTGGCTGCATTTCCTGTGTCAACTCTGTGTATATGTATAGCCCAACAACCCAGTGAGCCGTAGAGGCACTCAAAAACAGGCTGACTTGCTCTAAGATCTTCTGAAGTCATAACAGACGCACACATATGGTTCGGCGTGCATGCAGGGAGTAACCTGAGGACACAATGCCAGTTCTACTGGGCCTCACATACCCATGATGAAAGCTTCAAGGCAGCTCTTATCTCGCGAAGTGTAAAAGAAACCCCAGCAAACTTGCCTTGTCTACATCTTCAAACCAAGAAAGTTTGACTATGCGGCAAAGCAATCGAATTAGATGGCCTAGGATTTCGTGTGCATTGTGCAGCAAATCTGCGCTGCGCTGGTACAGGTAATTCAGAAGAAAGTTGCGAGTTTCTTCCTTTTGCTTGTCTGATATTTGGCCCCAGTAACGCGTGAAGAGGTTCATAAGCCCCGAGCTTGCAAATAGCAAAGCCTGCAGGTTCGACGAGTGGGCGAGCACCGCCTGTAGCCTGGGCATGTTTTCGGGGTTGTTCACGAGGGGTAGCAGCACTTTGTGCGCCTCATTTTGTTCTTCTTTCCCGCCGCCACCGTAAAATGCTTGGCACAACAGCTCCAGCTGCTGCACCTCCGCGAGATCTGCCATTGTTTCACTACTTATCAATGAGAAAGATAAGCAAGACGAACTTTGGCTACTTGTGCGACCTTCCCATGGCAAGCACAACGGCTTCTGCGCCGTCAAGACAGAGCAACACCGCCCTAGGCACACCAGGGCTTCTGTCAGACACGGAGTGTCTTGTGCATTTCGCGGGACACTCGAGGTCTGCAGGACAATATGTAGTTCTCCTGATTGTGCTTGACCGCTGCAGGCGCTTCCGCCACTTCTGCCACGGGCTGCTTCGGGTGTCGCCGCTGCTGCAGGCGCAGGCGGTGCTGCTGTGCTTGTGGCAATCCAGTTCTGGCTTGCGAAGCTCCTTTAGAGAACTGCAGTACCCCGCACAGCAAGACTCTGCTCTGCTGCTATTCTGCGCCTTCACCGCAGGGAGGGCTGCTGTCCCCGACAGGAGAAGAAGCAGCAACAGGCGATCTCGGTTCTCACAGGGAGGAAAGGAGAGTAGAGGCCGGGTAGGCTGTGGATGGAGTTGCGATAACTGGGTCGCCAGGCAGAGGGGGAATAAACTGGACTTCCCGTGGGCAGCCCCACAGATGAGGTACTCCGAAGAATAAATGCTTAGCGAAGCCACCAGAGGGAACAGAAACACAAAGCAGCACTAATGTGGCGCTAGTTTTCTCAGATGGGGCTTCACGTGTAGGAATTAGGTTCGGCTGGCGGGAGCAGCACTCCGCCACCGCCCCAGCCTTACGGCCATAAAATCAGAATACAATTCGAGACAAAAAAAACTGTCGTTACACAAATACTCAGCAACTTACCAGCTCAACAAGACACGATGCATGCATCGCCCAAGCTAGGCTTGAAGCTACGGAAATCCAGCGTCCACAGCCCGCGAAGGGAGTGTGCGTGTTGCTCCACTAACCTTGTTTCCCCACACCGTATTACTTCGACAATATTTTCCGTACTTCTTTCATTTTACAGGCTTGGCATGCTCCCACTGCGGCCACCTATGAGCTTTGACAGCAGGTGTATGACGCATTCGTGAGTACAGCAGCAGTATATGGGTGAGACTGCATTCACACAAATCGGGCTCACAAACAGAACCATGATCCAAGCTAGACGTCAACCTAAGCTCACTTTTTCGGCAGTGTGGCGGAGCCCCGTGTTCGCCTAAAGGAACTCGGTTACGCGTGCGGGGAGCACGATGTATGCGGGGTAGTTGACGCTCAAAATACTGCAAAACTGCAGACCGCCGTCGCCTGTTGCCTGAATTCCAAAAAATTCGGACTGAGGCGCTTGGAAGCCTGAGGATCAAGCTTCTGCACAATGTAATTTCCTAACACTGCACCAATCTGTTCACTAAATTGAACTTTGAGGCAAAGGTCAAGCTCCATCGCCAAAAGCACAGCCCCCATACCAGCTAAAATGACTCAGCAGGTACCTAGCTACTGTCGCCCTCTTCGCCGCCACAGTGGAAACCCATTGCTGCTGTGAGAATGCGAATCATTATGAGGTCATTCAATCGGCGAGTTGCTACAGCTTCTGACAGATGCACCAGGAGACGAGGAACTGCATAGGAAGGCTGGTTTTAAAAACATGCCAGGACTTGTGTACTTGTGGAGCGGCCTTATTGACACGTTCACAAGCTTCGTGCTGAATCCAGTGATTGATAACTTTGTGCAATACCTCACACTGCATCTGCAGGCACTCTACTATTCATGAGTTTTGAGACTGAGCCAAAAATCCGAGGGCAGAACTATTTCATAATTTGGCTTGCCGGCTTTTTGGTCAGAATGCTTATGCGAAGCGGCAGCCCATAACGAGTTGTGGCGGTTTGAACACGCACTGCAAACGGGCTCCTAATGTCCTACGACGGCAGTCCGCTGGGGAGCTCAAAGATGGCTTAGAAAGAGGCCACAAGTGAAAGCCTTTATCATTCCGTAGTAAAGGGCGGCTGAAGGACTTTAGGTAACAGAGCAAGATGCGCTGTAATGGGATCCGTCCTTTTCCCGTTTAGCACTGAAGCGGAATCGTGAAGAAATGCTAGCACATGAGCTGGTGGTTGGGCAAGAAGGAACTCGACAAACAGTGAAAATGGCTGAGTGGTTGAAGGCTTTTAGCTATTACGCTGCGGGCAGTTGCTCTGCTGCTGAGAAGTGAGCGCGGAGCAGAGCTGCTGCGTCTCGTCCACTTGAGGCTAATGGCCGTAATGCCACTGCCCTGTTCTGCTCCTATGTTCGTTCCTCTTCGGTTGTGTGTTCGTTAGAGCAGTATTTACCTGTCGAGTGACTCTAGTGAACGCTGTGGCCGGCTGATTGGAGCAAGAAATTGTGGCAGTGCCCCTCAGCAGCACAAAAGGGAAAATGATCGACCTCTGTGTATCTGCGTCGAACTGGGAAGCAAAGCACCTTTGTAGCCTCAACAAAAGGGAATAGTTTTATGCCGTGCGAACTGGCTTGACAACACCCTTAATGGTTTCTTTTTTTATCGGAAACCTGACAGCTCACTTGAGCAACACGCAGTTATACTTCTGGGTGTTTAACGTGCGTCGACTGGGGAGACTTTGACGTATCCGTTTGCCGACTGTGCTGTGTGCCAGCGAAACAGCTCCTGTGAGCTCCCTTCATCTAGCTGCTTCAGAACGCTCGTGCAACTCGAATGAAGCAATTAGTAAGGACACAGCTCCAGCGGGGATCATGATCCTTTGCAGGTGACGGCCACTTCTCTTGTGCAAACTCCAGCCTCGAGAGGCTTACCCTGGCCTGAGAGCAGAGTTTTCGCACCAACCACGGCACGGCGTGCCAGGTATATTTTTATAGACCTCGATGGAGACACAACTTTGAGCTTTTTTGCAGGAAGCACTGCTGTGAGTCATAGCCATTCGTACCTCTCTAACATAACTTGAATTTTATTGTACTCCGGTGGCCCAAGGAGGTGTTTCAATATGCAATCACAGGTAAACCTGCAGTGTGAGGGGGAGTTCTTTTGTCGCCATCTACATTTACATTCACTGGACTAATGTGTCCGATACTTCCGGGATGGCCACCAGTCCGAGTTAGTATAGTGGCTAGTATTTCCGCCTGTCACGCGGAAGACCCGGGTTCAATTCCCGGACTCGGAGCACTTTCCTCTTCCCTTTCCCATTACCTTTGAAGTATGGAGATGATCAATATTGCCGTGCTTTAGAGGAAGTATTCCTTACAATGGTACCAAGCCCGCCACCAGAAGAGGGAGCTCCAAGGCAGGTAAAGGCAGGAGGGAAACTAACTGTTTTGCTCTGTAGAGGAACATGTATGCATGGTTGCGACATGCATGCACACAAACGCGTTTACAGTTGCGGAGAAAGATTCCTACACTAACCAGTACTAAAACGTTGGAGTACACACATGCTTACTCCCATTTGTGTATCTAGCCTGAAGTTTGTGCCTTCCTATTGAAAAGTAGGTCAGAGTGTACTAAACAATGCATGATCAATCAGCTAGGCAGATCCCCTGTTAGAACTGATGCAGCTCACAATATTGTAAAGCCATATGTGATAAAACATGCGCAAGTCGGCCTCCCCATACCGTCTCTACAATTGAGACCACACTAAACGCTGTTCCGCTTCTTCTCTTTGTATTCTGCTGTCTGACCGTCACTTGTTCATAAGTCCGTTGGTGCAGTGCGCGCAGCACAAAGCAAACGAAATTACCGAGCGCCTCGACAACCGCAGTTCTTGCCCATTCTGCCTCTCGGCAGCAAAAGGCAACAGCAAGACTCGTGAACACATATTAATGCACACATGCACATGCATGCATACGTGGACTTGCATGCAAATGGAAGATCAGCTGGCATGCGGCTATGGCCATTCACTTGCAGCCCCTCATCCCCTCGCCTCGTACAGACGGCGTATGCTGGCTTCCTCTGTGGGCAGCCCCGTCACTGGGCAGCGGCGGTGTTGCCTCACGAAGCCCACAATGCAGCGGTAGCAGAACACGTATCCGCTGGGGATGCATGCAGCGCCTTCCCGTGGGAAGTGGCAAATGGGACAAATACGAGGATCCTGCACAAAAAGCAGCAGCGGAGGCTCCGACAGCACAGCATCAGCGCAGCAACAGTGGATAGTGCAGCACAGTGAGGCAGTAACCAAGTGCCCCCACGAGCCCGGTTATGTACACAGTCCAGCTCTCTGCAAAGAGGCTCACTTTTAGTGCCGCAGATCCAGCAGCAAACATTTCTTTTTTTTTCAGCCCGGCAGCAAGAAACAGAGAACTGCTCCTACCCAGTAGCAAAAAAGTAATAAAGGGAAAAAAGACCCACCTGCGGCAAAGGGTGCAACGGCTTCACACCCAGAGGCCTCGGGGGCGCCGGGGGCGGCTTAATTTCTTCTTTGCGGATTGGCTGCGGCAGCAGAGTTGCCTCATACTCAAACCACCACTCTAAGGTCCGCAGCAGGAGAAGCACTGCAGCAAGACAGTTCCTCACGCGCCGCGCTCCCCCCTCGGCAACAGCAAACCACCACGACCCGCCGCGGCCCCCGGAGCTGCTGCTGCTGCTGCTGCTGCTGCTGCCGTCCGCGGCAGCTCGCGCTGCGTCTGGGGGGGCGCGCACGTAAACCAGCCCCAGCAAATGCATGTATGGGGACCAGTAAGGAAATGCCACGGGGTCGGCGAGGTAGAGGAGCGCGTAGACAAATGAAAAGAGGTCGTGGAGCAGGGAGAGGCGGGGAAAAGCTGCGACCAGCCGACTCCAGAGGCGGTCTCGCAGCCACTTCTGCAGCAGCAGCAGCAGCAGCCGCAGCCGCAGGCGCAGCAGCAGCATGCGGAGCCTGCAACGCCTCAGCAACGTGCGCACCCGCTCCGCCCAGCCAGCAGTTACTGCTGTCAGACGCAGCGCAGCTCTGTCAGGCACGCTGTCCGTGCTGCTGCTGCTGCTGCTCCTGTTGCTGCTGCTTAGGAGCTCAACTAATTCTTCTGGGGAAGCTGGCGATGGGGGCAGAGCTTCTCTCTGCCTCCGGAATTCAACCGCTGCTGCAGCTAATTCTTCTTCAGTTCGCGCAATGCGGCTCGCTGCAGCAGCAGCAGCAGCAGCAGCCGCTTCCGGCGCCTCCTGCTGCGCCCGGTGCGCCTGCTGCAGCTTTCGCCGCAGATGCGGCAGCAGCACTTCCACAGCCACGCAGCAAGCAACTTTAAGGGGGGACATAGAGTGAGGAAGAGCAGCAGCAATAGCTGCTGCCTCACGGCTGATGCGCTGCTGCTCCTCCAGCAGTGCTGTGGGCAGCTGCAGCGGCGGCGCTCCTTTCGCAATCAGCGAGCCACCCCGTTCCTTCTCTGCGTCGCCAACATTGCTGCTGCTGCTGCTGTTGCTGCTGCTGCTGCTGCGGGGTATCTGCGGGTGGTTCAGGTGGCTGTGCAGCATGAAAACGCGTTTGTCTTCTCGGCTCATGCAATAGAAGCCTTCAGCAAAAGAAGCTCCCGTAGAGGCGAAGCTGTGCGTCTCTACAGCAGCAAGCAGCAGCAAATAAAGGCCGTCAAAGTGCTGCTCAACCCACCGCAGCGCAGCAGCAACATCTGCTCGCAGAAGCACGCACAACGAGCCCGGCTCTGTTGCTGCTGCTGCTGCTAAGGTCGATTTCGCTGCAGCAGCAACCCGGCACACACGAGACCATAGCCACGCAGAAACAAGTGACCCCTTCAGCGAACGAAATCGAGGCCGAGGTTGCAGCCGCTCTTGCTGCTGCTGCTGCTGCTGCTGTTGTTCCGCCGCCACTGCCGCCCCGTTCCCTGCAGCAGCATTCGGCTGTCGTTGTGCTGCTGCTGCAGCAGGGGAGTTGTCTGAGTAGAACGCTTCTAGAGTGACAACGCAGTGTCTCAAAGCAGCATGCAGCCCCTCGAGCAGTTTTTGCTGCGCCAGAAGCTCGAAGAATGACCCTTGCTGCAGCTGCGCTGCTCTGCGCAGCACTTGCTGCTGCCGCAGCAGCAAGTCAGCTGGCGTCGTGCCAGCTGCCCCAGCAGCAGCAGCAGCGAGGTGCTGCTGCCGCGCTGCCGCCGCTGCCGCTGCTGCCGCCGCTGCCGCAGCAGCTGCTGCTGGGTGCCCCTCGGGCAGCTGCTCATACAGCGACGTCGCAAACGCGCCTTCCGCCATTTTCACTGCAGCAGCAACAGCAACAGCAGCAGCAGCAGCAGGGGCGCTGCTCAGGAGTCCCACGCCGGGAGGGAGGAGAGGAACAAGTGGAGCTGCTCCGCAAAGACGGGACTGTCGATTTGCTTCGAAGGAGAAAAAGAAGCACTTTTGATGACCAACTCGAGAAAAAGAGAAGCATAAATGAACTGCAGCGCCTCCGACATGTACGGGACTTCCGGAGAAGACAAACAGGCGAAGCCGTAGCCCGTGGCGGTCTCGAGGTAGTGCAGTTTGTAGTGCGGGGTTGCGAACGAGCTAAAGCTGCTGCTGTTGCTGTTGCTGCTGCTGCTGCTGCTCACCGAGGGGCCCACCTGCTCGCAGAAACGACGCATGGAGTACAGCAACCCTGCCAGCAGCCGGCCCGTCTGCTGCTGCCGCTTCGTGAGGGGCCCCCAGGGGCCCCCAGGCACCAGCGGGTCAGAAGAGGAGCCCCGCACCCCGTTCGAGCCGCTGGGGTGGGCCCCTGTTGCTGCTGCTGCTGCTAAAGGAGCTGCTGCTGCTGCCAGCGATGACCCGACAGGGCTGCGCTGTAAAGAAACGTTGTGGGGGAATGCGGAGGCCTGCTGAGCAGCCGCAGTTGCTGCTACTCCTGCGCCTCGCGCCGCAGAGCCCCTGGCGCCGGTGCTGCCCCGTTGCTGCTGCTGCTGCGCGGTTGCTGCTGCTGTCAGACCATCAGGGTCGCTGCTGCCTGGCGGAACGTTCGCACCTCTCTGGGAGTACTGGGCAATGAAAATGCAGCGGTTCCGGTGGAACACGTAAACCGAATAGATCATTTTGCCAGCTGTTGCTGCTCCTGCTGCTGCTGCCACTGCAACTGCAGCAGCAACAGCGCCCTCTGCTGCTTAAGCAACAGCTGGTGGCAGGCTGTAAGTTACCAGACACTACCTGGCAGAAAGCACTGAGGGGCACCCTGCGGTCTAGTCCTGCTGTCAGCAGCAGCAGCTGCTGCTGCTCCCGCTGCTCCCAATGCTGCTGCCTCGGCTGCTGCTTGGTGCTGCTGGGTGCGCCTGAGGTGTATCGACACTCCAGCTGGGAGTGGCGAGGTGTACGTGTTTCTCCCTCAGCCGCGGAAAGAATTTATTTCTGTTCAGATCGGCGGCGCTGCTGCTGGCCGTTGCTGCGGCCGCCTTGGGAGCAGCAGCAGCAGCGACGGCCTCAAGAAGCTAGAGACATCAACGCAAAGAGCGTCTTTTCGTCGCTGTGTGTCAACATTGCGCTTCTCAGATTCCTCGTTTGCCCTGAGACGCAGGGCCCCAAGCGGGAGCACGAGCGCCGACTGTTGCTGCTGCTGCTGCAGCGGCTGCTGCTGCAGCCCCTACTACGGGATCCGCAGCAGCAGCAACACAGCACCAGCATGCATTAAGCATGCTTTATAATAACGGTTTTTCCTGTATGGACAAGAAACAGTGGAGCCCACAGAGACCTTCTCTGTGCTCGTTTGCTGCAGTAGCAGCAGGAGCAGCAACACCAACGCCAGCGGGGCCCAGCCGCAACACTGGCAATTAATGCACCAGCGCACTACTGCTTCCTAGTGAAGAGTATTAAAAGACGATAAGACTCTCTGGGGTGTTTGTTTTGCTGCTGCTGCT